GGCTGTGCACCACAGTTATCCGCTGACCCAATCCGCTGACCCAATCCCCCCCACCTGCCCCGCACCCCCCCTACCCCCACCCGCAGGAGGGCGACACGGTGGTGATTGGCGACCTGGAGTTTGAGTACAGCTGCGACAAGAGCGAGTCGGGCATGTTTGACCGCTGGTACAAGGAGCGGCGCGCGTCGGGCATCGTGGGCAAGGGCCAGGCCCGCTGGCCGCACGTCACCGGCTGAGCAGCTGGCCGGCCCAGCGCTCGCCCGCGAACTGATGCCTGGCCCCAACCTGCTTGCGCTTCAACCACTGCCCGTGTTCCCCTCTCTGCGCTGCCGCTCCCGTGCTGCAATTGTTGCATTTTCACACGCTCAGTTGGGCGCTGAACACCAGACAAGTTATTATTTAGTAGGTCGTACGACAGGTGGACACGTGATCATGTTGCGCATCGTCCCTTGTGAAATGAATCAAGTTCAGTACAGAGCTGGTACAACAGTGCTTCAGTGTGACAGGCATGCCGCGTTTGCCGCTCAGTAGCCGAGCCGCTCCAGCTGCTGCGTGTCCTTGCGCCACCCCTCCCGCACCTGCGCGCAGCGCAGCATGCAGGCATGAGCGCACCCAGCACGCTTCCTGCCTTCTTGCACACATGTGCTGAACAAAACACATGTTGCCGGCTGCGTGTGCCCGCCCCGCACACCTTGACTGTGAGGCTGAGGTAGACGGGGCGCCCCAGGAACGCTTCTATCTCCGCCCGCGAAGCCGTGCCCAGCTGCTTCACGGCGCTGCCCGCCCGCCCGATGATGATCCCCTTCTGCCGCTCCTTCTCTGCACGCCACAGCCAGGCACCCCCCAGGGCAATGCACAGGTGGGCGGCGGCCCCAACACATCACACTTCCTTGGCATTCCTCAGCTGCTGCTGCAAGTGCAGCACTGCACGTTCCACGGCCCCGGTGCCAGCCCAGGCCCCAGCACCGGCAGGAGGGAGGCGGCGGCGGCAGCAGCAGCAGCAGCGCACCCAGCACAATCTCCGCCTCTATCAGGTCCTTGCCCCTGGTGTGCCGCTCCTTGTAGTTCACCACCTCCACTGCGGCACAGCCAGCCCCCAGCAGGGACACGCGGAAGGTCAGGAGCCGGTGGATGTATGAGATCTCTCTCTGTGTGAGCGCCCAAAGCGCAGCAGGCGAACCGAGCCTGCACGGGTCCAGCCCCCGGCAGGCCGCTGAGGCGCGCGCCCGCCCGCCCGCCCACCTGCCACGCTGTACGGCACCTCCTGCTGGTACTGCAGGAAGATGTGCTTGCGGATGATCTCAGACACAAAGAAGCGCTCGGGCTGCTCGCTCACAATGTCCTGCGCCACAGCCAGCCAGCACAGGGCAGGCCAGGGCAGGCGAGTCAACCTGAGAGGGCATGCACGCCCGCCGGTTGCACGTCGCGCCAGCCGACGCATCCCAGCGGCACCACCTGTTTGTGCAGCAACTGCACACACACCCTCCCGACCAACCTTGGGGTAGAGGGAGGGCCCCTCTGGCAGCTTGCCCACCAGCCACTCCACCACCGCGTCAAGGTTGCTAGACTCGAGCGCCGAGATGGGCAGCACCGCATCGGCCTTGCAGTACTGGCGGTACCAGGCCTCCAGTGCCTCCAGCTCCTCTGCTGGCACCAGGTCGGTCTTGTTGAGCAGCTGCAGGCAGGGATGGGGCAGGCAGGCAGATGTAGGTGCTTGCCCAAAGAAGATGCAGCAGGCCTGGGCACGAGGGGACAGCGCCTTCCGCCACCCCGCACAAGTGTTGCGCTGCCCACGGCGCAGGGCCGGCTGCCCTGCTCCTCACCACAGCCATGGGCGGCCCCTTCCAGTCGTCCCCCGGCTGGATCATTGCCAGCGCCTGCTGCGGCTCGTGCGAGGCATCCACGATGGCCAGCAGGCAGTCGGCATCCCTCACCGCCTGCGCAGGCCAGCAGCGGCAGGCATGGTTGGCGACTGAATGAGACTGAAAGCAGCAGGCGCCTGTTTGCCGGCCCATCTAGCGCCGTGCAACATCCTCCTCGCTCCCTTGCCCCAGGGCCTCCAGAGGGCATCACAGCGCCCGGTCTTCATGTATGGCTATGCCTCCAACACCACCAACCGCCCAGCCGCGCCCTGCCCACCCCAGCCCCACCTGCTGCACGCTGGCCATCATCTTGTCCTCCAGCTTGTTGCGCTTGTCCACAATGATGCCAGGGGTGTCCAGGAACACAGCCTGCCGGCAGGCGGCGGCGGCGGCCATGTCGTATTCTGTGTGCTGCGCCGCACAATCCTGGCATGCACACACGTGCACGCTGCACCAGCAGCTGCAAGCGGGAGGAGGCACCCACCTGGAACCCAGGCTCAGACAGGATGCCCAGGATGCGGTGCCGCGTGGTCTGCGCCTTGGGCGTCACGATCGACAGCTTCTGCTGCAGCAGGGCGTTCATCAGCGTGCTCTTGCCCGCGTTTGGGCGGCCGATGATGGCCACAAATCCTGCATTGGGGAGCGGAGGGAGGAGGCGAGTGAGAGCGCGTGCTGGCATTGCGCGGCGCGGCCAGGAGGAGCCGTCGCACGTGCCTCTGCGGAAACCAAAAGCTGCGACCCGCGCCCTGCCGTCTGCGGCAGCACCCAGCGGCACGGCTCTGACGTGCCTGCTCTGTACCCCGGGGCATCAGGCGTGAAGTTGGAGTAGTCCTCCAATATCTCGGGTGGCCTGCCGCCCGCCGCCGCCTGCTCCTCCTGGTCCAAGTCGTCCGCCAGTTCCGCCGCCAGCTCTGGCGGCAGGGCGGCCAGCCTCAGCACTTCCTCTGCCTTCTGCGCCCGTCCAGCTCGCCGCACCTGGGCCCAAGCCCGCCTCCGGCGACATGCATGGGTTGGCCACGGCGCCGGATCGGCAAGGCTCCTACAGCGTTGTGCATTCACTGTGCTGATGGGCAGGGAACACGTCCTCATCGCTGCTAGCGCGTTTCCAGCGGGGCTCCGACAGCAAGTGTTGCAGGCAAGCACTGCAGGCCCTTGAACTTTACGAAAACACAGCGGCAGCGATCACCAACGATGCACGAGTGATGGGATGGCTGCGCTTGCCCGGCAGACAAGGTGCTGAAGGATTTGTTGACCAGCTCAGCGGAGCTTTGTTTGGCAGCTTCAATTCCTTCTCGCCCTTGCTGCATTGAGCCTGTGCTGCCAGCAATTCCTCGGGCTAGACAGCGACAGGGCTGCACCTGGCCAAGTTGACACCCCACACCATCCGGCTCTTGGACGCTGCGGCTGGTTCCTCAGGCGCCGCAGCAGAGCGCGTGCGGGCGCATGGAACTTGCGGTGCAGGGAGGCGTGCCGGTGGCTTCCCCGCCGCGAGGTGCGACCCCGCCACCCGCCGCCACGACGGACGAGGTGCCCGCTGCACACAGCCGCCCCATCTCCGCAGGCGCCTGCAGCAGCCACTCTTCCTCCCACCTCGGCAGCATGTTCCAGCTAAGCCCCGAGGTGCAGGGCCTAGCGCCAGCGGGACTGCCCCAGGCAGAAGGCAGCCTGTCGCACGAACTTGCCATGTTTGTAGCTCAGGACGCCGACGGCGGCAGCGACAGCGAGGCGGGCGATGACCTGTCCAGCTTTCTGGCAGACCTCAAGAGCAAATACGGCCTGAATGAGGACATGGACCACAGTGGCGGCCCGCTCGCCGTCAGCGTCAGCGTGGTCCTGCCCAGCCCTGGCACACGCAGCGGCAGCCCGCCGCCCCTGACCCTGCCGCTGCCGCCGCCCTCGCCACAGCACTGGAGCGTGAACCCTCTCTGGCACTCTCGGGCTGTCAGCCCCGAGGCAGCTGGTGCAGGCAGGCAGCTGTCGGCGTCGGCATCAGGCGCCCACAGGCTGAGCAGCGAGCATGATGGGGACATGGTGTCCGCCCTGCCGCAGCCGTGGTGGCAAGAACCGGTGCCACCAGCCGGCCAGCTGCCTGGCAGCAGCAGCCAGGCCCATAACAACGTGCAGCCCCTCCAGCAGCCAGCACAAGGAGCGGAAGGACAGGAGCGCGAGTCCTCAGAGCAGCGGCAGGAGGAGCAGGAGGTGCAACCTGGGCTGGATGGCGGCGCGAAGCTTGATGTTGAGCTGAGTGTGCTGGAAGAGCTGCAGCGCAGGGCGGCAGCAGACCAGCTGGAGCAGGATCAGCGCCAGGCGGCAAGTAGCAGCAATGCTGGCGCTGGCACTGGCCAAGGCGGCATCTCAGCCGCGGGTGGGGAGCCAGGCCTGGGAGCATGCGGCCAGCCGCCACAGCGCCAGCTGCCCTGGCAATCGCTGCACACGCTGCTGGTACAGCGTGGCTTCCCTGGGCTGCTGTCGATGGATGACGAGGCCAGCAGCCGGCAGCCAGACCCTGCCGCCGTGTTTGAGGCGCTGCACTCGCTGGTGCGGGAGCACGCGCGCTGCGCTGCCCACCAGCAGCGGCTCACCGAGGCGGCGCAGCTGGCGGCACGGCGGGAGGGGGCGCTGCTGGCCAGCTTTGCGGCGGCCAGCAAGCAGAAGGAGGGAGAGATAGCCAAGTGGAAGCGCCTGGCGTTAGAGAACCAGGTGGCGGCGCGCGATGCGCAGCGCAGCAGGCAGCAGTGCCGGGGCGCCAGCGACCAGCTGGCTGCCGAGGCGCGGCAGATGGAGGGCCTGGTCAGCCGGCAGCAGCACGCGCTGAGCGTCAGGGTGGGTCCCCTCATGTGGCTGTGCCTGCTGGCCACAACCGTGCCTGGCAACTGAAGGCTGAAAGTCGTGCCGAGCTTGCCATTGTTGACGGCCCCTGCCGCTGGGTGCAGGATGCGGAAGTGGAGCGGCTCAAGCAGGTGATTGCGGCGCAGCGGGAGCGCGAGGAGCGGCGGCAGCGCGCCGACTGCGAGGCATACGAACGCCTCAAGCGCGGCTACGCGGCCTCCAAGGCCGAAAGCACGCCCGGCGGCGCGGCCGCGGCGCTCAGGGCTGCCTGCCGCGAGCTGAAGCCGCTGGACCTCATGCGCATCTTCGAGGCGGAGCGCGCCAACCTGCAGGAGGCGGCGGCAGCCGCGGCGGCAGAGGCTCGCGCCGCACAGGCGCAGCTGGCCCGCGCGCAGGTGGGCGTGCTGCTGGTGTCGGGGAGGGGGCCCGATGGCATGTCAGAGCCTGGGCTGGGCCGCTGCATGACGGGTCGCCCACCTGCTGCCTGCTACCCGCTCCCCCGTGCAGGAAGCGCTGCATGCCGCGGGGCTGCCCTGCGAGATGTTTGAGGAGGTGGAGGGGCAGGCTCGCGCGGCTGCCCGGCAGGCAGCGGTGGCAGAGGAGCGGGCTGCTCAGCTGGCGGAGGAGGCGTCTGCGCTGCGGCAGGAGCTGGCGGCTCGCCCCACGCAGGCAGGAACAGCGCAGCTGCCCCACCCCCGGCTGGCCTCCTTCGTCAGCGTGCCAGCAGAGGGACAGCTGGTCAGCATTGCCCTTTCCACCCCCACCGACCCTCATGTTGCGTGCCGGCGCCTTTCTGGCTGCAGGCCCAGCTCGACTCGGTGAAGCGCCAGGCTGGCATCATGGAGCGCCAGCTGGCCAAGGCGGCTGCAGACAAGGCGGCAGCAGAGTCCAAGGAGGCCAAGAGGCACGGGCGCTGGCTCCCAGCCAAGACTGTCTGCCTTGGGCAGCTGATGCATGCGAGAGCGGGGGAGGCGGTGCCGTTGCCTGCTGCTGACCTCTGTTGCTGATGTGCATGCTGCCGCCTGCGTACCTGCAGCCGCCCCAGGCCCAAGCAGCTGAGCACGCGAGAGATGATCCTGCGCGACCGCAGCATGCAGCGCCTGGGCCTGCACAGCGTGGAGGAGCTGCCCAAGCCGGGTGGGCGGTGGGGTGGTGGGTCAGGGTGTGTGCCTGTGAAGTAGTTCGGGTGGGGTGCATGCCAGGGTGGAAGCTCGATCCCACCACCTCCCTGAGGAGAATTTGGGCGTGGAGGACAGGCGCCTACTGAGAGATCCTGCTGTCCCTCCCTCAGTGTGCTGCTGCTGCGCTCCTGCTGCTGCCCTGCTGCAGTGCTGGTGGAGGTGGTGCAGGATGCGTGCGCGCTGCTGGAGTGCCGCCAGCCGCTGGAGCTGTGCGCCGCCATGGGGCCAGTGCAGGACCTGGCGGCGCTGGTGCCCCGCATGGAGCGCTTCATCGGCGACGTGTGCGGGGTGAGCAGCGCTGGGGTCCCCGCTGGAGCATCCACCGGCAATGTGCAGCGGCATCACGTTTTGGTCAGCGCCATCGCCGGGTTGCCCCCCTGCATGCAGGCCGTGTTCCAGCGAGGGCTGGCGCATGTGCCAGAGGCGCTGCGGCAGGACAACCCCTCTGATGTTCCTGCCATCCTGGCAGCCTGGATTGCGGGTGCGCGCCGGCGCCCCCACCCGCCCAGCCACAAAAGCTGTGTTGCCTCGCTATGCCTTCAGTGCAGATCGCCTGTGCTGTTATCTCTAACACTGCTGCTGCTGCCGCAGAGCTGTCTGAGCTGGTGGAGATGCGGGGCGTGCTGCGAGCGCTGCTGCGCCACCTGGCCAGCCGCGTCAGCGTGCAGCCCTGCGACCCGCCGCTGGTGAGCCTCCGTGTCAGTGTGGGGGCCGCTGCTCGTCCCTCACCGTTTCCGGCCGGCAGCCGTGCCTTCCTCCTTGATGCCAGCTGGTCATCCCTCCCTCCCTCCCTCCCTGTTACAGGCCGCGGGTGAGGTGGTGCCGCTGGTGGCGTCGCTGGTGGAGCTGGAGCGCAAGGTGTACCACTCGAGGGAGGTCATCGAGGGTGAGCGCTGGGCACAGGCCGCAGCAGCTGCCCATTCGCATGTTTCTGGTGGCGGGATCCCACCATGCGCGCTGAGCAGCGCAGCATGCCCCTGCCGGCCACCGCATCGCTGTGTTTGTTTGTTTTCTTGCAGCGGCGGAGACGGCGCTGGCAGCGCAGCCCGACCTGCTCATCAACCGCATCTGCCTCCAGTTCCAGCGCCTGTTTGGCTGCCGCAGCCTGGAGGGCATCCTGCCAGCCATGAACAAGCTGTACCTGGCGCACACAGGCAAGGCTTGCAAACAGGGGGCCACATGGGCCGTGGCTCACTGGGTGCATGGCCTGAGGCAGAGCATCGGCGGATGGCCATGGGACCACTGGTGCTTTGCGCTGTGCCCTGCGTTGGCCGCAGAGGCCCAGACCTTCCTGGCATTGCTGCGGGCAGCGCTGGGCCTGGAGGCTGCCGCCACGCTGGAGGCGTGTGCCAACCGCCTGGAGCAGCTGCTGGCCGACAGGCAAGGCCGGCCGGTGACGCATGCTAGTGCAAATCGAGCCCCCGTCCTTTCAAGTCGGCATGCATGTCCTGTTGTAGCTGGCTATCCACTTCTGCATTGCGGTGTTTGCAGGAGGGAGTCATTGGCGACGATGCTGCCAGCCCGGGACCCGCACGCAGCTGCGGTGGCGCTGCCAGCCAGCGCTCATGCGGTGGTGGTGGAGGTGGCGCCGCGGCGGGACCTTCAGCAGGCGGCGCAGGTGGCGGTGGAGCGCATGGCGGCAAAGCGGAAGTGGCCCAAGGTGCAGATC